TATTTCTATCTACCTGAAATAATGCTATAAAGGACTATGATTTCAGAGAAGGGGAAGCTAAACCTGAGAATACTACCAGCTAAATTGCTTAATACAGACCCGTGTGGCAAGAAATGTCATGGGAAGAGATGCTCTGGTCATATGAAGCAATTTCAGATCAAGCCTTAACATTCAAATCACATTACCCTTAGTGCTGCAGTAAATGACTTCTTTTTCTCATACTGGGTTTTAATCATCTGACTAGCACGATGGGACTATGGGCTGAATAATCTTTAAAGTCCCATCCATCTCTCAGTTTCTATCTCTGATTTCACATATATTTAATTATGAGGAAATTCGCTACCAACATATTTAAGCTATTTATTTACCACCAAAATAATGCAAAACTATTTTATATGCAGATAAAATATCTAAAGAGCAAAAACAAAGCTATAAGATTATTAGAAGACAGTAGGAGTGAATATTTTAAGGTCAGTGTGGAAAGGCCCACTTAAAAAGGAGAAATGTCTAGATACAACCACCAACAGGCTTGGAGAAAATATTTGTAACACATATAACAGACAAGGAGTTAATATTCCTGATATACACAATAGTGAAAGAAATAGAAAAAGAAACCATACATATAAAAACATATAAATAATATGAACCTAAAAGTCATAGGGTACCTATAGACAGCCAATAAATATAAGGAAATACGCCATCTTCACTATTAGCAGGGAAATGCAAATGAAAACCAAATGCAATACAATACCATATGCATTGGATTTGCAATAATTAAATTAATAGCATTAAATGCTGGTTAGGGTCTGTAGAAATGTATAGTATTCTACAGTTTTTGTAAGTATAAAATAGGCATAATATACTTGGAGAATACTTTAGAGTATCAATCAATTTTTAAAAAATAGATATACAATTTGATCCATCACTTTTACTTCTTGGAATCTATTCTTCAGAAAGAGTGCTATTTATATGCAAAGTTATGTATAGAACACTGCAGTTTTAAGTATTATTTGTAAAGCAATAAGCCTGGAAGGAAAAACTAAAGGTACACCAATGTAAGAATAGTACATCAATATAATGTGCTACAACACAGCAATTTTTCAGTGAAATAAATCTACATGTACTCACCTGAAAAAGTAGTCCATGGTAAGTGAATATTGTAAGACAAAACCAAAAGACGTACTATTTTGGCTCATACTGCATATTTATATGTATGTATGTGCATGTGTGCATATATGTAGTTATGTATTTCTGTCTATACGGGCTTTAGTCTGGGTATGTATAATGATGGTGATGATGATGATAGCTAATATTCACTAGGCCCTTACCTTGTGCTAGGCACTATCCTAAGCACTCTACATGGATTGATTTAACTAATCCTCAGAACTACCACATGAACTAGAGATTAGTATTCTCCTTTTTTAAAGAGACCGCAAACAGTTAGCCCAAATCACCCAGTAAGTGACAGAGCTAGAATTGATTTCAACAGTTGTTCTCCAGAACCTGCATCTCTTAAACCTTTAATTAAAATTCTCTGAATGGGTCTGGCCTGAAACAGGACAGTAGACCAAACGGCCTGGCCTGGATAATGTCATCAAGCTCCTAGGATCCCAAGGGTCCCAGCCTTTCTTCTCTGAGTCATCCATGAGCAGTTTGAGAGCTCTTGTGCATTTTTTAAAGGCTTGGGCACCTTTTCTTCTCCAACAATAGGTAGCTGAATTCTGTCTGATCTCTCAATTAATATCTCTCTGGAATAAAATGGAGGATTAGTGAATTTAAAATATTAAGGTCCTATTAGGTAAGAAATAGATTTGGGGGAAAATACTGTCACTTGTATGATGAGAAGCTTTTTATTGGTGCCACAATAATATTGATTTAATTCTGAGGTTGGTGAGAATATTGATAATTGAGTTGAAAGCAGTGAGAAGAAATGTTCAATATTTGCATACAGTTGTACAACAATGGTGAGCTAGTGATGGACCTAGTCACATGCTTACTGTCAATGGTCAAACAATTGCATTAACAATCGGTAAAGACCCAGGTATAAACTGCTGCTTATATTTCTTTGTGAAAGTTTTGAAAAATGAAGTGACTATCAAAAAAAAAAAAAAAACTGATGCCATCATCAGGATTATGTGGAGATTATCCAGCATTTACTTTAGAAAAACAGAGCAGTGATTTCCAAATCTAATTCAAACCAGATGCAGTTTAAAACAAGTAAAGTAGTTTTCCAATGAGAAAAATTTTGTCTCTTTCAGGGAATTTTAGGACAACTTTTAAGAGTCATTCAACCGTGCTGCATTTTTATCTCATTCGTACAACAAATATGTTTCTAAAACATCTTTTCAAAACAATTATTTTGCCAGTTATACATATTCATTGCTATATATAGTTTATTTATTTTTTTCTTCCAGTTTTATTGAGATATAATTGACATATAGCACTGTATAAGTTTAAGGTGTACAGCATAATGATTTGACTTACATACATCATGAAATGATTACACAATAAGTTCAGTGAACATCTATCATCTCATATAGATACAAAATAAATAAATAGAAAAAAATTTTTTCCTTGTGATGAGAGCTCTTAGGATTTATTCTCTTAACTTTCATATGTAACATACAGCAGGGTTAATTGTATTTATCATGCTGTATATTACATCCCAAGTACTTATTTATCTTATAACTGGAAGTTTGTACCTTTTGACTACCTGCACCCAGTTCCCCCTCCTCCCACCCCCGCTGGCAACCACCTGTTTATTCTCTGTGTCTATGAGTCTGTTTCTGTTTGGTTATGTTTGTTCATTTGTTTTGTTTTTTAGATTCCATGTATAAGTGAAATCATATAGTATTTGTCTTTTTCTGTCTGACTTATTTCACTTAGCTAGCATAATACCCTCTACATTGCTATATATTTTCAATTAAATGTAAATGCCATCCTAGTGCAAATAATAACTGAATGTTTATTGAGCATATGCTATAAATGTTCTAGTTACTTGTTATGTATATTTTATGCACAATCTAATTTAACCTTTACAACAATGTGCCTGTTTTCATATATCTGTGTGTGTGTGTGTGTGTGTGTGTGTGTGTGTGTGCGTGTATGTTTGGTATATATTCATCACCACCACTTTATAGTTGGGGAGGTTGAGGAGGTTACTAATTTGCCAAAGGCCATATGGCTTATAAATGGAGCATCTGGAAATCAAACCCAGGTAGTTGGGTTTTTGTTTTTTGTTTTTAAATGCAAAGTACAGATTCCTAACTACTATACTCAGTGCCCATAAGAGCTACAGTCATGAAAAGGGCAGGAAACAGGTTTCAAGCATTTTTTCCTCTCTAATTTTATCACTGGAAAACCAACTCTAAAAACCACACTAAACTATATCTCCTAAACTACCAAGTATTTGATATATTCATTTGTCTACAAAATTTGATGCACAAACCGGTGTTTCATTCTTCTCTTTAACTTGAAGAAAGCCTTTTCTATGTTTTCTAGGACAGAAGAAAAAACAAATGTAACTGCCGTATTTCTTAATGAATGTAGGAGAACATTCAATTATTTCACTGGTTGAAACAGTTAAAATATTCAAATTTAAAACTATTTTTCTTTTATTGAGGTAGAACTTTAAACTTTTTTTTTCTATTTCTATTTCATCATGAAACTTTAAAACTTTCTTAGCAGATGGGCAGAGTACTTTCTGCAGAAATGATTCACTTTTAGTCTCATAATCCCACGTGGGAAAGTTGAAGGCTACGTAAATTGAAAATCTGTCCTGGTCATCCAAATGACAAAAGAAAGTTAACCTCCTGGTGACATTTTGAAAGATGTCAACCTTCTCTAAAAAATTAGCTTAATTTACTTGATATGACAAGGGAAAGAAGCCAACTAGTTATATTGTTATATCAGAAAAACTGCTTGGCAGAAACCTCCAGAGTTCTCATCAGCCTCTCAACATTCTCCTTCAGATTTTAGTACTCATAATTTAAAATGTTTAAAGTATGAACTTTAAAATAAATGTCACTAATTTTCAGCAGGTATTTTAATGTAGAAAATTCTCCCTGAAACAAAATACTCATCAGTCTAAACCGTGTCAATAACATTAACCAATTTCACTCACCAATCTTTTGGGGCAACTGTTCTCTGTACTGTCTTTTGGAAATTGCAAACAAACAAAAAATGAAACTTCCTTTGCAGAGTTATTTGATTATAATAACTACTCATTACTTGACAGTTTAATTTTGAAATTGCTCAATGAAAGGGAAAGCAACGTTTGTAGACAGGAGCTGCCCCACATAAACTCGAAGAAATCTTGCTAATGCTTACTGCACGCGTGGAAAAGCAGCCCACACCTGCCAGTTGTTTTGGAAATGGGAGACGTGTGTCAGGCCGTGCTTCATCCTGAATGTGGCTGGCCTTTTGGACTGGCATCATAAGCTTTCCCAAATGTGTCCAGCCATGCAGCTTTAGGAGCTTTATTCACTTCGTAAATATTTCAGAATGCAATTATAGCAAAATGATTTTTAAAATCACACAGAGCCAGAACTTATAATTTTTTAAGGAAAATTTTTTATGATGAAGAATTTAAATCTTATACAAAAGTTGGCTTAAGAGAGTAGTGGATCCCTAAACTCCCATCACTCAACAACAACAATTGTTACCACTTTGCCAATTTCATTTCATCTATCCCTCCCCAACTTTCTTCCTGGTGTACTTAAAGGTAAATCCCAGACTCTGTGTTGTTTTACTCATAAGTATTTTACTATATCTCTAAATGAGAATGAGATGCTTTTATCTTTTAACTTCTTATTGTTAAGGAATATATACATTGCATTTTTGCCATTATTTAAATAATTAGATATTGCAATACTTAATAAAGGCCATAAATGCAAGAGGATAGTAATTAAGACCATTGGAAAGAATGTAGTTGAAAGGGAGGGAATATTTTCCCCATTTTTCTGCCTTCTCTTTAAGTACTCACCATGCTGTTTCCTTCTTGCAGTTTCCTTGATTCATTAAGCAAATATATTTTCTGGGTCATTATAAGCTTTGAAACTAGAAAAAAAAGAAAGGCCAACATAAATGCAATATAAAGCATATTATCCTTAATTATTTGAACGTTTTTGTAATGATAGGTTATTATAAGGGTGCAGGATTTCATGTCATAGAAACCAGTATTTTTCTACACATTCTTAAATCAGACAGTCATAAAATAGTAAATTAGTAACCCAGGTTTTAAAATTCATGTGAAACACTTCCTGGGTTAAAGATGTTTCTTTCTGTCACACAAACTAAAAGAACATACAGGAAAAAATGGAATTAGAATCACTACATTCTACTTCAATAATCCTCTCTGTGCTATTCTTCAGGCCTCAGAAATTCTTTAAATCCCTACATAATTTTTATTATAATAGGTCTAAATTTTATATATTGATATATATATATATGCCGACGTTTTAAAAAACTGTCACATAGATGGATGAATGGAGGGATGGGTGGATGGATAGATAGATTTTTAAAATTTTGTTGCTCTTTTTAATTTTGTTTGCTTTGGGATTTTGGATCTCAGGTGCACAGAATTGAATTGATTATACTCCTTGGTTCCTGGCAAGTTTTTATTGTCAACCAGTGCACCTTCTCTCTTTTATGTTTTATTTCATGATTTTTCTCATTCTTTCCTGCATCATCAGTCCCCTTCCTACCCCCACCAGGCTCCCACTCACATGCAGTTAATGTATGCTTTTCCAGTCCACATTCCACAGGGTTCATGGTCATTTGCAATGTGTGCATTCATGAAATTCATTTTTATTAATGTAGATATGCTTTTAATGGCACAAATGGCATCACATTCTGTTTCTTACTATTCTATTCAACTTTATAGTTTTGAAATCTGCTTACACTGCTATCTTTTCCATGCTGATCATTGCCTCTGGCACTAGTATTCCTCTCTTGCATATTCATATACCACACGTTACTTAGGCCTAAAAAATATTTTCCTGTTTTTGGACTTCTAGGTTGCCTTCAACTTCTTTCTAGCACAATATGCTTTGGTGGGCATCACTGTACATGCCTCTTTGTGCATCTGTGAACAATATCACTGGAGTACACATCTAAGAGTGGAATTTGGGGGCACAAAAGATATGCCTACAGTTTTCACTAAATACTGTCAGATTGCTGTCGAGATTGCTACATCATGTTAGAGCTGCCCCTCTAAATATTATATGAGATTTCTTATTTTCCCACATCCTTGCCAGCCTTTCATGTTATCTTTCTAATTTTTAACAACCTGCTGGCTATGAAATGGTGTAACAGAGCAGTAAAGTTGTAGTGGTTGTAGAGGTGAGGAGTGTTGCCTCAAATGCTAGCTCTCCCACTTACTACTTGTGGGACTTTCTGTTCCTGGTTTCCTAATTTGTAAAATGAGACAATAATGATGCCTAGTTCATAGAGTTGCTGTAAGGATCAGAACAGAACCGTTACACTTTAAAAGCACATAGAATAATGGCTGACCTTTGTAAACACTCAAATATTGGCTGTTTATGTAGTTCCTTCAATTAATAGCGAGGCCCAAATCAATGAACACTCTTTGTATATCTAGTGGCCACATGACTCCATATCTTTACAGCATTTTTTCATAAAGTTCCTTGACTTTATTCTTTCTGCATTCTTTTTTTTGTATATATTCTTGATATCCTTAGTTATTTATAGAAATTGAAAAGATTTTTCACTCAGTCTACCCCCATCATTTAATTTTGTCTTCGTTGTCCAATTTTAAAGCCATATCTTTAGTTCCATGTAGCTATCAGTTTTTCCCTTTATATTTCATGCTATTTTTGGTATTGTTTAAGAAATCTTTTTCTACTCTGAAATCATAGACACATCCAATTTTATATATTTTAAATTTTTTGAATTTGTATCTTATTTTATATCACATTATTCTAATCATTTGATAATCTTGTTGAACTTTCTTCTATCAGATTGTCAGTAGGAGTCTTAGACTTTTAATTTTCAGATTATCATCTGCAGATAATGAGTTTTGTTTCTTTCTAGCAATTCCTAATATCTTCTATTTCTTTTTCTGGTCTTTCATTGTCCACACCTTCCTGTACCCTCTTGAAAATTACTGACATACTGGGGTTCCTGTTGTCTTTTCTTATTAGTTTTTTCCAATCTTAAATGAAATCATTCCAAAATGTTCCCATTTGATATGTTATTGCCGTAATTTATTATTATGTCATTAGGTTAAGAAAGTTCCCTTCTTCCTAGCTATCTAGTTTTCTAAAAATGTTGACGTAAAGGGATTTTATTTGTTTTTAATATATTGAGATTATCTTATTTTTTCCTTTAAACAAAACTCACTTTTTACTTGGTTGGATAAAATTTTAGATCTGATATTGGTGTTAATGTTCATAAATGAAACTAAACTGTAATTTTATTTTCTTGAACTGCCCTCATTGGGGTTTATGTGCTGTAATTGCTTCATGAAAATAATTTTAGCAGCTTTTCTTTTTTCCTGTTTTCCAGATATATTAGTATACAATAGAGGATATACATGGTAAAACTCACATATAAAACTTCTTGGATCTGGTACTTTACAGAAGAAAAGATTTTGCTTTTTAAGCGGCATTGTTTATTTAGCATATATTGGTCAATTAAGATTTTCTGTTTCTTCTTTTGTTAATTTTGGCATTTTACATTTTCTAAAAATATACCCATTTTGCTTTGAATTTCAAATTTCTTGACATTAGTTTAGAATATTTTTTGATTTTTAAAATATTCATGTTATTCTGTAGTTAGATTACTTTTACAAATTATGTCATTTCCTGGAACCAAGAACTATATATTCCCCAAGGTCCTATCAACTCTCAATCTCTACCTCTGGTTCTAAGATTAAAAAAACCATAGTCTTACTGAGGTAAATCTAAATACATGTCAATTCAATTTACTATTCTTCATGAATTAGGCTATCTCACCTGGTTAGGACCTAGATATGTTAGTATTGACACTTGTAGATGTTGAGATGATTCCTGTGGTTTAAATGGTGAGTTCAACACTCTGATTGCCTGGGTTCAGGTGCCAACTCAGCACTGAGTACAAATATGACTTTGGACAAATTTCTTATCCCATCTCTATCTCCATTTTTCCTTTGTGAAAAGGGAGATGATAATAGTAGCACCCACCTGATATGATCGTTGTATGATTAGGTTGGCAATGCTTGTAAAAACACTTAAACAGTACATGGCACACACAAAATACTCAAAGTAATATATGTTTATTTACAATTTAAAGCCAAATATGAACATACCAATGTGTATCTTGTTTTACTTTTCTTTCATTCACTTTTTATAAAAAACTTTCCAATTGCTCCATATTATTCTAAATATAACTTTTTGTAACTTTTAAATATTATCAAATCCTTTCATATCATCTATGGATGTACTTGTATAACTTTTACTCCTTTAACTTTGAAGATAAGCCTATTATTGGAATAGCAACAAACATAAATAAAAGCTAAATATATATATATTTAGTTTCATATGTATATATGTATATGTGCATATATATGACACAAATGTATCATATATTCAATTATAAAAAATCTAGGAATAAGAATTTTTTAAAATTCTGAAATAATATTGACTTTTATAAACCAAGACATGACCAAATGCCAAGATTATGCTGTGTCTCCAAAATAGTAGATTAAATTAATGTTAAAATTAATAGACATGTTTCCAAAGAAGACATATAGATGGCCAACAGACACATGAAAAGATGCTCAACATCACTAATCATCAAGAAAATGCAAATCAAAACCACAATGAGACATCATCTCATACCTGTCAGAATGGATATTATCAGGAAGACAACAAATAACAATCATTGGTAAAGATGGAGAAAGGAGAACCTTCGTGTACTGTTAGTGGAAATGGAAATTTGTACAGCCACTGTGGGAAAACAGTATGGAGGTTCCTCAAAAAATTAAAAATAGAACTGCCACAAGATCCAGCAATTCCACTTCTGGATATTTTTCCAAAGAAAATAAAAAATACTGATTCAAAACGATATATGTACGCTTATGTTCACTGAAGCATCATAGCCAAGCTATGGAAGCAACCTAAGTGTCTGTCGATAGATGAATGGATAAAGAAATGTGGTGTGTGTGTGTGTATATATATATATATATATATATACACAACGGAATATTGCTCAGCCATAAAAAAGAATGAAATCTTGTCACTTGCAACAGTATGTATGGACCTAGAGGGTATTACGTTAAGTGAAATAAGTCAAACAGAGAAAGACAAATACTGTATGATTTCACTTATATGTAGAATATTAAAAAAAATGAACAGAACAAATGCATAAATACAGAGAACAAACAGGTGGTTGCCAGAGGGGATAAGGTTTGGCTGGACTAGTGAAAAGGTGGGGGAGATTAAGAGTACAAAAAAATGAGTTATGGGGATGAAATGTACAGCATGGGGAATATAGTCAATATAGTCAATTCTATTGTAATATCTTTGTATGGTGACAGATAGTAACTAGACATATCATGGTGATCATTTGTAGAAATATTGAATCACTGTGTTGTACATCTGGAACTAACATAATGATATAGTTCAATTATACTTCATTTTAAAAATATGTAGACACTGGGAGGAAATGCATCAAAATGCTAATGATGGTTATCTCTATGGGGTGGGGATTATGGGTGATTCTTTTTTTTTTTTTTTTTTTTTTTCGGTATGTGGGCCTCTCACTTTTTTTGCCTCTCCCGTTGCGGAGCACAGGCTCCGGACGCACAGGCTCAGCGGCCATGGCTCACGGGCCCAGCCGCTCCGCGGCATGTGGGATCTTCCCGGACCAGGGCACGAACCCGTGTCCCCTGCATCGGCAGGTGGACTCTCAACCACTGCGCCACCAGGGAAGCCCTATCATAGTTTTAAAACCATGATTATCTTCAGATCTCTATTTGCATAAACATAATCTTAAAGCAAAACTATCATTTTAGATCATGAATCTCTATGAGACCTTGTATCCTCAACCCTTCTCTTGGTTATATGCATTCTCTAATATGTAAACGCCTAAAGTAATGATGATATCTTCTCTCAGTAATCTCACAGGGGTTAGCTATTTCCTATGTAATAATAATAATAGGTGATTTATATATAATAAAAATATTATGAAGAAAGTGCTGAATCAATCTGCTGTGGTAAATAGGTTTACAAGAAATAAATTATCACAACAGCAGACGTTCAAGACCAATAAAACCTTCACTGTAGTATTGAGCCATGACCATGCCTTTATAGTTATAGTATTATATGCAATTTTAAACCAACTAATTGGTGAAAGAAAAGTCCTAGATCCTGGCTGATCTAAAATTAAAAAGGTGACTTTTTTAAAAGTTCTTGTTTGTCTGGTATAGAGAGGAGGGGTGGAAATACACTTCCTTAGAGTGCATTTTCACTTTTAATAATCACCTGCCTTTGATAAGTACTGGGGTTAAGAGCCCTTGCTGATTAGTAACCGTATTTATTGACTGTGTTCACAGGGCTTCTACATACATTACCTTTTTAATCCTCACAACACTCAAGTCTTCTGACTTCAGGTTCCATGCTTAAACCCTTAAATCATTTGGTAAATCAAACATGTTAATACAATTTAGCAGGATGACCAGTAAAAGAAATGTATTTTTTTTCTTTTTGCGGTACGCCATGGCCTGTCACTGTTGTGGCCATGGCCTGTCACTGTTGTGGCCTCTCCCGTTGCAGAGCACAGGCTCCGGACGTGCAGGCTAAGCGGCCATGGCTCACGGGCCCAGCCACTCCACGGCATGTGGGATCTTCCCGGACCGGGGCACGAACCCGTGTCCCCTGCATCGGCAGGCGGACTGTCAACCACTACGCCACCAGGGAAGCCCAAGAAATGTATTTTTAATTACATTCTTTCATTATTTATAATCAAAGGAAAGCAAATAAATAAAATACTTGAAGCATTTCCCTCTCTTGGAAAAAAAGGTGTACTTCCTCTCTTTCACATACGTTTAATTTCAACAATTCTGTGGTCATGATGCAATAATGGAAATAAAATGAGATGCCTCTCAACTCTAGATTTTATGATTTAGATAATGAAGACCACTGAAGCCAACTTTCTGTTTTTTGGGTTTTTTTTACTAACTCATTCCAATGAATTGCACAATGAATTAATTACAGTATTAACACTGTTATTTATTTCAAGGATTAAACTATCTAACATTTCCCCTTGGGCATTAACATTCTAGAAAAACACCTACCTTGAATTCAACCATGAGGCTCCACACCTCAAACCTCCAGATTCCTGTTAAAAACAAAAGCAAAAAACCTTATTCACCTTGGCTGTTTCTACCTGGGCTGAGAGAGGAAGCAGAGAGGATGCTGAAATTTAATGGATCCAAGAGAATAATGATGATGAAGATGAGTATCTTAGGTAAACCTTAAAGAAACAGTAAAACTTCAATAGATGGATAATTGCATGAAGAGGAGAAAATAATCTAATTTTAAGAACCTAGGTTATGAGAGACAGAAAGAAAAATAAAGGCATGGAAAGGAAATGGCATCTGGTTTTAGAGACCTTTTTTGTATAGGAAATTGGCAGTTCCTATTTGACTTAGACTTAGAAACATTATTCTTACAAGATTGGATTGGGAGAAGTGATTTAACCATTCATCAATCTCAGTTGAGTTTATACCAGGACTATTCCAGGTTTATATTTATTTATCCATTTAATGCTCATGACAATTTTACAAGGATTTGTGTCAGTAGTCCCATTTCACAGATAAGAGAAATGAGACACAGTAATGCAAAAAAAATGATAAACCAAAATATCAAAATTTTAAGTAAAAGAAGTTCAGTATTTTTCCTTTGTCTCAGCTTCCAATATGGCCCCATCTGGCACTGTTAACAATTCTGTCTTTATTTTAAACTTTGCTATTTTTATCATGATTTTTTGCATTAATTTTGATTTTTAAAATACTGCCTTAAAATAGTATTGATCTTGATTATTGAACTTTTTAGTGCACTTGTAAACTTTCCATCCCAGGCAGGTGCCTCACTTGCCTCACCCTATTGCCGGCCTAAGTAAGAGGGAATTTCACTTATACATCAAAGTTCCGTTTTATTTCTTTAATAAAAAGAAATTATTTCCTTTTATTTTTATTTAATCATTAAAAGGAATTCCTTCACCAGAAGAAATGGAATTATGACTAAAACTGAAACAGAACTTAAGTGATAACTCTGATTTTTAAATTATCTTAAGTCCAGATCACCAGTTTTCATATTTTTTCCCTAGAAGAAAGAACAAATAATTATCACTTTATAGATAAGAAAACCAAGACATGTAACGGCTCAGTCACAAAGTTAAAGCTAAGCTTCCTGGTGCTGAATGGGACACACCATATTAGAAGCTTCTCTAGGGACAAGTTTGAAGAAAATGAAAATATAAAGAATACTTATATGAACAAATCTAGGCCAAATAATTTGGATCGAAAGAGTAAGGTTTTGTAAAGAATATGTGCTTCTGAATTAGACACAGTGAGCTTGAATTCTCCTTCGGCCACTCACTAGCTGGGTGATCTTTGACAAGTTCTGAAGCCTCAGTTTCCTCATTTATAAAATAAGCCTTCTCAAAGCTACCTATCACTGTTTGTGTTAGAAAGAAAAAAAGAGAACGTAGCTAATAGTATTTATCAATTAGGATCTCAACCTATGACAGATGGTACATACAAAACAGAAAAATTCAGGAGATTTTTTTTTTAGAGGTTTTATATATATATAAGTAGAAGGACAGAGAAACCTAAAGGGATAATGCATCTGAGGGGACAGTTGCCTGAATCCAAACGAGAGAAGAGTCAGATAGAGTTATTTGTCTTTAAAAGTAGTGACCTCTGGTGGAGGAAGCCAAGGAAATAAATACTCTGACCTTACTGTCCTCTCTTCCTCTGATTTCCAACCAAACCCTAAGCTAGAGGGCATTGAAGCCCAGTTGCTTTAGCCCATGCAGGCTGGTCTTAAGGGAAGACTGCCAGGAACAGAAGGATGAAGAAGGGGTTTAGAGGAGCAAAAGGAAGCTCACCACCGCATAATAAGAGCTCCTAATTACTGAGCATTTTCTGTGTAACAGACAAAAACACTTGCGCATTTAATCCAAATAACAATCTTTTAAAGTGAAAGCTATTATTTTCCCATTTTACAGATGAGGAACCTGAGGCTTGCTGTAGTTAGGTGACTACAGAACCAAGAATGGACAGGGGGAAGTGAATGAAAGCTATCTTTGCCATGCCCCATCATTGCAGAAGAACAATAAATGGTAGTGACTGGTTTCATAATTATCATCACTGTCATCAAAACCATTGAATTCCAACCCCTCTAGCAATTGTATTTCCAGGAATTTATCTCATAGTTATAATTCATGAGTATAATAAAGTATGTTCAGAAGTGTTGTTTGCAACATTGTGTTAGCAAAATATAGGCAAAATTTAAATGCCTATGAACTTGAACAGATTAAATAAGTTATAGTGCATTTAAAAGATGGAATACCTTGATACCTTGTGGTCAGTAAAAAGAAGCAGCTCTATGAGTACTGGCTACTGATATTTTGATATATTGGTTCAGAACAGTGTGTATGTTACCATTTCTGTTATCTGTATTCTTGTAGATGAAAGAATATCAAATATGTCTGGAAAAATACTTAAGAAACTGGTAACTCAGTTGCCTTTGGGGAAAGCAACCGGATGGCAGGTGAAATAGAGATACATTTTTATTGCACACCTGTACTTTCGAATTTTTTTTACCATGCTCATGTAATACCTATTTTAAAACATAAATTAATTAAGGAAAAAATCAAATGGTATGTTATTAGTTACGTTCCGGGGACTTCTGTAATTTGGAAAACAGTGACAGAAAATGGACGTGCATAAAAACCAGCTTTCTTACTCTACACCATGAGTGATTTGCTTTCTCAATAACAATAAAATCCTTTGCCATATCAGCTTCAGTTAAATGAATGCAAAATAAGGAGTAAACTTCCATCTGTATTTTACAGTGCTTTGCCCATGCTGCAAAAGCAAAAGCTGTAGGGAAAGCAATGAGAAAATTAGCACCTTGAAGTCAGGTAACAGTTAACTCAAAAGGCAGGCTAAGCATAATATCACACTCAGAAACAGCCCAGCCTGAGAACACGTCAGGAGGACTGCTGTTGTTGTTGTTGTTTTTTAAAAAGCAAACTCTCTTGCCCAAAGGAGGCAGGTGGCAAATTAACCACAGCTCCCTAAACCCCTGGGGACTTACAGAGCTCTGTCCCCCGGGTAAGACCACTATCCTTCCAGGTTTTCACTCTTCCCAAGAAACCTGACATGCTGTTTCTCATGGCATTTTCAAATTGGGAAGATCAGGACGGAAAAAGTTTGCCCATCGGGAATGGCGAGACTGGCTGATAAAATGACGGAGTTGATGATTAACTGTTACCTGGATAGCCAGTTGTTTTTTTTTTAAAACGATGCGCCAACCTGAGTTTTAATTGTTGATCTTCTCCAGCTGTTGCCTGGGAAAATGTCCTTCCTTGGAGGAGGCATTTCCAGGAGTTTCAGCAAGTTTCCTTAGGATCTTATGGTTTCTGAGATTCGATTTTCTTCGGGTTGCGGGGAAGGACATAGGAGGTTGATACCAGGCGCTACGCTTCGGAGGAGAACGGATCGCCTACTCCAAAGCAACTCCGGCCTGAGCACTTAGCCCCTCCCGTTTGGGGGTCCCGGGGCTCCGCCCCCGCAGAACAAACCGTATAAAACCGCTGCGACCAGGGTTCTTCCTGCAAGTCTGGGTTCAGTCCGACTCCAGGGTCAGCGAGGTACCCCGCCAACTTCCCGGAGCATCGCGTGCCCGAGCCATGGCCCAGGGGCTGTACCACGAGGAGTTCGCCCGGGCGGGCAAGCAGGCGGGGCTGCAGGTCTGGAGGATCGAGAAACTAGAGCTGGTGGCCGTGCCCGAGAGCGCTTACGGTGACTTCTACGTCGGGGATGCGTACCTGGTGCTACACACGACCCAGGCCAGCCGGGGCTTCACGTACCGCCTGCACTTCTGGCTCGGTGAGAGACGCGGGCGGCCGGGCCCGGGCGCGCCCAGGTCGGGGAAGGGCGTGGCCGCTGGGGGTTGAGGTTTGCGGGCTGGTGGGCAGGGCAGCGCTAGCCGGACGGGCCTGGAGATCCTTCGCGCCGGTTAAGCCCCCGTGGGCCCCCCCCCGCCCCCCCCCCCCCACTTTGGGCCTGGGCACCTTTTCCCCGCTGGCGTCCGCTCCTGCAAACGCGGGGCGCAGCGAAGTCGGGAGCAGTCTTACCTCACTAGCTTTGACCTTTGTCGTGTCCATCTCCCGGGTTTTGGCGCCGCTTCCTCTCGCTTCACGCCCTTTCACTTTCCAGTCTCCAAACCCACCTCCCGCCCGGGGCGGCCGCCCGCTGCACCCTGGCGCTGGCCAAGTTCGGCTCGCCTTCCGACAGGTTCAGTCCTGGTTCCCCTGTCAGCGAGGAGATGAAGTCAAACAAGTTTGTGGGCATTCGCCGCAGACGGCGAGAATTCCTTTAAGAAAATTATTTAGTTTTATTTTTTGCCCTTGGGCGTCAGCTTAGAGTTCTCTATTATTTGCGGCGATTAATGTTCAGGGCCGCTTTAAATCAGATTCCAGCCTGCCCCGCGCTGCTCGCAGGTTTGGCTAAGAGAAATTCCTGTTGATCAGGATGCTGGCGGCTTTATCAATATCAGTAAATAGCTTTATATGGCAGAGTTTGTATTTAGATGAGTTGCTTTATAATAATTATTATTATTATTTTAAATTTATTATTTATGTATCTGAACAAGAAGACAGTTTGGAACAAAACAGCTCCTTCGTCAGTAGTAATTATTTTGGGCTTCACCGGCGCCAGGCTCTCAGGACACTGGGCCTTGAGTGTTCTACTTTTCCCACCTTCTACTTTTGCTCGTAAACATCCTGAATGTCTAACCTCTCCCTGTGAGATCCTGTGCCAGTGGGCACACCCCGTCTAACAACGCACCGATTATCTGAGCCTTATTGCCTTCTTTTAAAATCAGCTTGCCTCCCCTAGACTGTGTTTATTTTTAGTTTTATTCATGAGTCTATGGGTAAAACACACAAAACCACACACACATACACATTTTGAAGTCCCTGAAAGTCATTTTTTCCACTAACATGTGAAGATTTTAAGAAACAAAATGGTAGAGAACATTAAGTGATGTTCTCAATATTAGCAAAAACCCGGAGCAAACACTCCAAATGAGAAATCCATAGAGGGAGACAGCACTGTTTCATTACAGCACTTGATATTAAAATGTTGTGCTTGCCTGAGGAGGCTGAGGCTGCCATCTAAACTCATTTTGGTTTCCTAGTGTAGTGTCACTGTTCCTATTATCACAGACAGTGATTTGCTTATATTTTATACCCCCTAAAAGAAACTCCCCACTGAAACCTTAATGTATAACTTGTGTTCATGAATGAATGATGCCACATAGAATAATAATGTCCTTACCTTGGTTTTTCTGTTTAGAACTTGGATCTGGAATGAGTAGAAGTATCTGAAATACCACATCTGTCATTTTGGTGAATTAAAATGTGAAAGAACTTCATATCATGCTGTGTAGACAGCAGTTAAGTTTGACTTTGTCAGAGGATTCCAAGGGGGCTTTAAACACAATTGTTTTAATTCTATAGGTTCTTTCTTATCCAGGTAAGGTCTTCAAGCACTGTGTTTCGTAGGGTTTACAGATTCGAATTAACCCGTTCATTTCGTGCTCACCAGTTTCAAAAAATGTAATAGAAAATGTTTTGACAAAAACATTTTATGATCTTAAAGGTCTGCTAAAACTGAACTTAATAGTGTGTTAATTAATAAGTTAATTCAGCAACTTTCAACGTGCCCAGCATTGTGTGCCCAGCATTTTTGCATATGAATGATTTATGAACCTTTCCTGAAACTTTACAATCTCAAAGGTGCAATAAAACAAAAAGTGATATAACCCAGGTAAAATGTCATGAGCACTATGAAAGAGACACCACGTGTCTGTGGTTATGGGGAAGCAGAGAAGCCTTAATGGAAAGAAAGGAAAATGAGGGGAATTGGGAGGGATCTTGTGCCAAGAGAAAATCATGGGAACCGTGGAAAGTTTAGCGCACTATAGTCAGCAGGACCTGTAGGTGGAACTGTTCAGCAGCTCTCCCTACTTCAGTTCCCTGAAGCAAGCTGGATTTCATCCAATGTATTCTACTCTAAGACCTAAATTTGGGTGAATTCATGAGGATTATTCAGAGGGACAGATTGAGACAAAGTTCTAAGTGGGAGAGCTGAAGGTTCAAGGAAAGAGAAAGTCTGACTAAAGGAAGTCAGTTGGAAGGAAGATGAAAGAGAGTAGAGTTAAAATCAGCCTGAGATAAAAAAAAAGGTGGCTGGTGTAGAAATGAAGAAACCCGCCAAGTAAGAGGAAGAAAGGGGAAACAGGAAGAAGTGGGACACAGAACGGGGGAACAGAGGAAGAGTCATCTTTCCTGGTCTCTCCCTTAGTGTCTTTCCATAGTACCTTTGCATATCTCAGATTATTTCATTTTTTACATTTATTTTTTGTTTCCTTTATAAAGTAGGAATTTGCTGCATGTAACTTAGAAGTTGTTGCATCGGTCCTTCCTGAAAAAGCATTTCAGCTTTGTACCTAGCAGTTTAAATACATCTATCTGTGCTGGGCTCTTTGTAAGGCATGGGGATCCAAAAAGTTGGGTTACAATATACAATGTACAATACAAGGAGCTTATAATATACAAGGGCTGGAGAGGATGCTGAGAAACTGGAGTTTTATACAGTGCTTGAGGTAGAGGAGAATATAAAACGTACAACCGTTATGGAAAAGAGTTTGGCGGTTTCTTACAAAACTGTACATGCCACTACCATGTGATCCAGCAGTCGCATTCATGGGCATTTAATCCAGAGAAATGAAGTTTTATATTCATGCAGCAACATGTACATGCATGTCATAACAGCTTTATTTGAATAGACAAAAACTTGAATCAGCCCAGATATCTGTCAACAGGTGACTGGTTAAACAAGTGGCACATCTGTACCAAGGAAGACTACTCAGCAACAAAAGGGAACAAACTGTTGATAAACACAACTCAGGTGAATCCCTTAGGGAATTATGCCATGTGAAAAAAAAATGCCAAAAGGTCTCATGCTATATGATTCCATTTATATAACATTTTGGAAATGACTAAATTTTAGATTTATTGTCACCAGAGGTTAGAGATGACGTAGGGGAGGGGGATTCAGGTGGGAGGTGGGTGTAGTTATAAAAAGGCAACATAAGGGATTTTTTGGTGATGGAACTATGCAGTATCTTGACTATGATGGTGGATATATAAATTTACATATGTGATAAAATTGTATATAACTAAATGTACAAATACACACAGATGAGTTCAAGTAAAATTGGGAAAATATAAAAAAGATAAGTGGATTGTATCAATGTCAATATCCTGGTTGTGGCATTTTGTGCTGTACTGTACTTATATACTTATACTTTAATATACTGTAGTATACTAAACTGTACATACTAAAGTTTTACAAAATTTTACGTTGAAGGAAACTTGGTCTATTGATCTGTGTGTCTATACCAATTGGTGTCTTCCACCAATACCACACTGTCTTATTAATTACTGTGGCTGTATAGTAAACCTTAATATCAGATAGAATTAGTATTCTTACCTTATTTTTCTTTGTCAAGGTTGTTTTAGCTATTCTAGGGCCTGTGCCTTTCCACATTAATTTTATAACAAACTGACTCATATAATCTGTAATAAACCTCAATATGATTTTGATAGGAATAGAATTAAGCCTATAGATCAATTTGGGGAAAATTGACATATTTATTACATTACAAGTCTCACATTCCATGAATACTGTCTTTATATTTATTAAGGTCTGATTTTTTATTACCATTTTATAGTTTTTAGCATGTAGATCATGTACCTGTTTTGTTAAATATGTATCTGAGTATTTCAGTTTCGTTGAAGTGACTGTAAATGGTATTGTGCTTTTAATTTCAACTTTTGCATGTTCATTGCTTCTATATAAAAATGAGACTGCTTTTTATTATTGATTAATCTTCATCATGCTATCTTGCTGAATGCACTTTTTCTGAAGAGGTTTATTTTGGTAGATTCCATAGAATTTTCTATGTAGGCCATCCTGTCATCTCTAAATAGACACATTTTTTTCTTCCTTTCCAATCTGTATGTTTTTTATTTCTTTTTCCTACCTTTTTCAGTCGTTAAAACTTCCTGTGTTATGTTGAGTAGGAGTACTTTCCTTGTTCCCCATCTTTGGGAGAAAGGATTCAGTCTTTGATCATTAAGAATTTATGTTAGCTGTATGTGTTTTGAAGATGCTGTTTATCAAGTTGGGGATTTTCCCCTGTGTTCCTAACATGGCGAGAGTTTTTTTTTTAATCATGAATGGTTGTTCAGTTAACTTAGTCATTAAACCTCTCTTTTTATTTATGCTTTATATATAAAATCACATCCCCAAAACAATTTTAGGAAGTTTACAGCATATTTACAAATATAATATAACATAGTATAAAATAACATAACACAAAACAACATAACATGGAAGGCACTGGGAAAATTAGCATAGGGAAAATAAATGAAGTCATAAGCATACTCATT